ATATCAGCTATTATTAATGTATTAGATTAAAGTCTTAAAATAATAATTTCGAATTAGGCCTAGTAAACAAATAATTGTAATTAAAGTTTAGGTTCTCATGATGTCAGATGACGTATTCAATATGATGCTATATTTTGGGCTCTGACTTAATTTAACGATGGCCCAGTCAGTTGTAGTAGTGACAATATTTGTGCTTTTTTAGCCATGTAGTAAAAATAATAATAATAATAATAATTTTGGCTTATATAGCGCATTATGCTAAAACCTCAATGCGCTTAACAGTAAAAATAAAATTCGGGGAAAAAAATTAAGAAAAATACAAGTTAAAAAGGTGAGTTTTTAAAGCTTGAAATGACCTGGCTACGGGCCTGGAATTACATCATGTTTTATTAAGCACATCTTTGATATACTGTAAGGTCTTTGCTTGAACTTGGTTAAAATTCCTGAAAGTTTCATTCAGATCTGTCGATCTGTGTTATCTAGTCTAGGACGTTTTCCTTTGAATGATCCTCATATCCACACCCTACTCCAGGTCGTCACCAAAATTTTATCATTTCTTTATTGACAACGCCAAACTGTTTTGGAAAGTTTTATTTCGATCCATATTGATAAATATTTTGAGAAATTTAGGTGGGACGTTAGCACTTTAAATGACCCCCAAATTCACACCCGAATCTGGGTCGTCATCGAAATTTAATAATTCCTTCCTTTTAACTTGGTTAACTCTTACAGAATGTTTCATTCATATCAGTTTAAAATATTAGTGTGTTGCGTTTCCAGTTAAATTTCATTAAATGGTCCTCACATATACACTCCATGTGGTCTGGGTCTGGACCAAGCATGGAAAGTGACCAAAGTGTCGGGCAGAAAATCCCTGTGAAAAAGACAGAAAAAACCTATATGGAAGAAAAAAAATAATACTAGGACAAAAAGCAATGGCTTTTCCTGCTACTGCTAAATGTCTGAATAATCACAAACGTATTATAAAGTGCTGTATTTTGTGGGTGTCAAGCATTGAACACTTTTGTTATTCCAGAATGTTTCCTAATAGGCCTAGACACTTATTAATTTTATACAGTTGATTGACTGCCCATCCATCTGCAAATCTAATTTGAATATATGGTGCATCAGATAATTCTCTCCACTGGAGGACAAATACCCGTTCAATACAAACATTTTTCTTGTTACCCGCTTGACTGACTAAGCGTAATGACATACCAATTTTCATTTGAGAGCTGTGATGCACAATAATAGATTAAACAGTGCAATAACAGTACTGTATATAGGCCTAGTGTGTTAATATTATCAGGGAACAGTTAAATTACATATTATAAATCGATTTTGAACAAAAATGGGCACAATGATTCGAATACAAGGCTGTAAAAATAGAAAACTAATATTTTGAGACTTTAAAATAACATCAACAACGTTGCAAAAAGCGCCGCCTTAAATAAATAACTAAGATTATTGAGAATTACCAGTTAACAATATTAATTGATAAGAACGTTATAATAACGTTACATTTTGATGATAAAAACGTTACCGGTATTTTGTAGAACCATATAGGGCCTATACTTTCTTATAACTTAATTTCACAACGTCACAACTTTTGAACGTTCTTACAACGTTGTGTGAACGTTATGCTGTGACATACCTAACCACAACATATTAATAATAATAATAATAATAATAATAATAATAATAATAATAATAATAATAAAGATTTATAAAGCGCACATCTCCACCAATGGTGCTCAAGGCGCATAGTCAATCAAACCACAAGATCCATATAATTCCCAGAAGAATTTCAAGCAAAATCCGTATACCAAATCTCCCATCGAGGCAATGTTGCTCCCCATATAATTATGCGCAGATACTCAAAGGCAGTATGTTGAGCATCAGCACCTTCCACCCCAGGATAAGCGGAGGATATCTTGCGGCTTAGATCAAAGGAGCTATGGACACTTTTTGAAGTGGAGAAAGGGTTGCAGGGTGTTGTGAGTCTGGTCATTACGATATCTTCCTTTTTATTCTTGTCTTTATTTTTCTCTTCTCTTTTTCTTTTCCTTTTTCCTTTGCTTTTCTTTTCCCCTTCTTTCTCTTTCCCTCCCTCTCCCCTCTTTCTTTTTTCTTATTACCCAGCCCTATACGACGGCTTGGTCAGCCCGGTAAAAACCGTCGGTGGGGTATGTATTATACTATTTTATCTGAAATTAATCAGTGGACCTTTTTAGGTGAAAGACTCATAAAAACACACACACACAAAATAATGCTTACATGAGTTACTTTAAAATTTAAGTAGGCCTATAAAAAGTTTATAATAGGCCTACTACAAAATGGTTAACGGCGAACCGTGTGATGTTTCAAAATGAATGGCATTTTGTACAAACGAATTCCTACGAATTCCCTGGCCCCAAGTGGTTTGCACGGGCTGCACTGCCCGTACTTACCTAAACCCAGATCTATCATCCTATTTAAACACTGTATATAGTGAGCGGATGGGTCGTAGTTCATTATTGCTTATTCAAAACAAATTGTCGATTATAAATCAGATCATAACTTAATATACACACGGTAAGTTTAAGCAGTGTATCGAAACAGTAACAAGTAGCCTACAATTAAATAAGTAGCTTGTTATCAGTAAACTGAACTGGAATCAGCAAACCTAAAATGTTGTAAATCAAGGAAATCAAAGGCTGATTTTTTAAGGAGATTTTGACGAGACCAATGTCATGCACGCACACACACACACACAACACACACACACACATAAACTCACTCACACCCCCACACGTATACGATATACACATAATAGCCTATATATAAGATACTCGCCATGACAGAGCGAGAGGTTGCAGACTCGATTCCCTCCAGAAACACTTTTTTTTGCAGTAAAAGGACATTTTCATTGATGATGCTTGGTACGATTATTACAACATGTTCCTATTTGAGCACTGTTATTATTATCTATTATGTATTTGTTTGTATATATATTTGTATATATATATATATATAATATAGATCATCAAAGCCTAGATATATATATACAGTATATATACACTACAGTTTTGAGACATGACAATGTTATGAACAATAGTAAATTCGAGATTGCCAGTATGCTAAAATACTACCAAACGGCCAATAGCCTAGGTCTATAGTTATTTTACCGGATAAGACAATATGCAACAATTGAAACTGAAAAATAATATAATCAGAAAAAAAAGGTCAAAGTCAAATAAGCCTAGAGCATTATACATATTTCAAGGCTAAAATTTAGTAAACATTAATGTATTTTTTTTCCTGTTCCAGGGAGTTGTTCACTGACCAATGTGGAAATACAATATTACTATTATTACAAGCGTGTCGTTGTCAAAACAACATTTACGGAGGACTAGAATACTATATTGACCTAAGCTATGTTTTCTATGATCAACAGCGTAAGCAAGCTATTGTTATACGACGTCGTCTCCTTGCAAGATGAAAAAAAAACCAATTAAATATAACTAAAACTTACAAATAAGTCTCCTAATGTTCGTCCCAATACACTAGAACCTGGACGTTTTCCAAAACAAGCCATAGAAAAAAAATCCTTAATCAAGTAGAGTGGAGAGGAGGCGGGAACAAGACATGATGTATCGTTAGGCCTATAACCAATCAGGAGTCATGTGATAAATGTGTTTTGTCCCGGTGTATTCGACGAATAAACGTGACGTTTTGTCCTGCAGTCCTACAGCATCACAGACGTATCAAAATAGTAACTATTGAAACGAGTAATCAAACCTTTTGTGTGCTCTAATCAATGTGATGTAGGCTCTCAATAAACTTATACTTTTAATGGAAACAGCTAATACTTTTCCTTCAACTATTATGGATACACTTTTTTTATAAGAACCAGTAAAATTTTGCCCAGGCTCAGTGTTCTTATTTTTTGGCCGATTCAGGCTCAAAATGTTCTTATCTTGTTCTTATTTTACACCATTTTCAAAAATATTAATGTACAGCAGCATACTGTACTGGAATGTAGGTAGGAATGGCTCGGAAAAAATATTAGCCCTGATAAAAAGGCCCCGGAAAAAAATTGGCCCCAGAAAAATGGCCCCAAAAGACAGTACACCTGCTGATTATAGAGAGTATTACATAGTCACGCCTATTGCACAAGGTACAGATATAATGTTTTGGTTTTTCTATTTAAAAAAAATAAAAACCTCCATTAACATTTTACCTCAGCCTCAATTTGTTCTTAATTTTTAAGCAATTTGAGCCTTATTGTTCTTGTGTGAAAAAAATGTATTATCAATTAGAGCATTGTAAGGACAACAAAAATATTTATAATAATAATGATAATAATAATAATAATAATAATAATAATTTTGCTTATTCGAGCATTTACGGTATCCATGTGAAATTTAGCTCCTGTTGTCTCTGACTGTGGTTTTAAGAAAGTATAAAGCAATTTATTTATAATGTATTGTAATTTTATTATTATGATTAAGTTACGATAATGTAAGGGCATAATATTAAAAATACCAATGATGCAAGAGTTGCAAATAATACAAATTAATTGAAGCTAAAAAATTGAATAAATTCAACCTGAATTATTGATGCAGCATTACAGAATGTATGTAGTCGTAAAGAATAAGAATGCCAAAATGAATTGGTTTAAGTATAGTGTCATCTTCCGTGATATTAGTTGCAGCAGCAACATGGCAGACGCTACGCGTCTTAAACTGCGGTGGTCGACCCGTTTCCTATCATTTACATTATGTCTACCCCTCATGTTATACTCCTACTTTTGGAGTTCTCAGGGAGTCGGTTTTTCCCACCAGTACCATAGGGCTTAGCTCGACACAGCAACACAGGAGCGCAGAAAAATAAACTGCAACGTGTAGTGTTTCTTTGTTATTTTTAAATTAAATCGTAGACATAAGGATAATGTCTGTTTTTTCTTCTTATTTTTTCGTTTGTAAATTCTATTCTAAATTAAAAACAATCTATGCTACCATTTTTGCTGTGAACAACAGCGCTGACATTTAAGTTACCAACTTCACTTTCTGCCATGTTTACCGATACTCCTGTTTCAGACCTCACTGGTTGTGGTTCTATAAATAATAAAACGTAATTAAGAAGCAGAAGGAAATACTGTTGTTTTGTATAATAATTTATAATTATTGTAGTTAAACGTTATTGGTGAGCTGATATGATTTTAAAAACTCTAAAAGAAATAAGATGACACTTAATGAAAATTAACAGTACCGTAATAACTTTCTCCAACGTTCTTTTTTTTTTTTTTCTTTTTTTTTTTAACTAATCAAACTTTGTGTAGTACGGTAACTGGCGGGAACGTTGTATGTAACACTTACATACCTTCTTTGCCTGGTTTCTTACAATATGTCGTTTGGTCCTCCATCGCCGTAGTTCTATTCATATCACACAATTTGTCAGTCATGCTCCAGGTACTCAAATGACCTTAATTCAATTTGATAGACATCTTGTAAAGAGTCTACATGGAAACAAGGAATACAACAATCAACATTACAGTAAATTTCTATTGTTTCTTTTCAATGCTATTTACGTAGTAGCCAACGCTCATTGGAATATATATTGGCAAATATAATTTTATATATGCCCAACTAATAATAGTGTATTTGAATCGGTTAATCTCCAATATTCTATTATTTGTAGGCCTAAATTTTAGATATTTTAAACATTTTGATATATTTAGTTTTATTATTATTATTATTATTATTATTATTATAAAGTCACTGCAAATATTGCATACTGATAAGGTATTTAAAGAAGATTAGACATTTTACTTGTCTAAAAAGAAAATTCACGTTTATAAAACATCGTCAAAGATAAATAAATATATGAATTAAAATAAAAAAAATGAAATAATTATAAGAAAGTACAATACATACTCCAAGTATTGAAATACACGCCATCCCAACACGATGGCGTGTATTTCAATACTTGTATTATACTTTCTTATCTGAGATTAATCAGTGGACCTTTCGGTTTTTGAAATAATTATATATTGCTATATTGCATATAAAAGACAGGTTGCTTATTATATAATTATTTGATAATTATTACGACTAAACTTTTTAAACAATTGCACAATGTCAGAATCGAACTTATTTACGGTATTCATGGAGTAGGCCTCTATAGAGTACTCCTGGTCAACGCTTAGC